TTTAATATTTTTTAATATCAATATCTTCTGATTTTCTCAAAAAAAAATCTAATTTAAAAAAAAAAATTATGACCAGTGTGTTTTGGTTTTCGAGTTCGGCAAATCTACTCTCCTTCATGATCTGATGGACTCAACTGAGTCAAGTCTACCCCGGAAAGCTCTTCCAACTAACTTTACAGATTCTACGGGGCAATTTACCTGCTCTTAACAATTCCGGGTTTGGTAATAACAACATTTCCTATCAATACAGAACAAAAAGAGCCCAAAAAAGCTGCCATTCTTCTGTTGAATGTTTAATAATGGCCATTTTAATTGCTGTCACCACCAGCACCAGCACCAGCACCAGCAGCTGCACCCAAATTCCTTCTTTCTCTCCTCTTCCTCTCTCTCGTTTTTAAGATTAACGCCAGTGCATCGTCCTAACTCCTAACCACTTTTTTGGGTTTTTGGTTTTTGGTTTTTGGGGGTTCCTTCTAACTCAGCGTCCTGGCACCTTGTTTCCTCAGACCCCCGGGAGATTTGATTTATGTGATGAGAGATCATTTGAATTCGGATTTGTTCGACCCGAGAACGGAGATGGACCCCGATTACTCCCGTGGGGCCTCCTCCGCCTCCGATGGTGACTTCGGCTTTGCTTTCAACGACAGTAATTTCTCTGATCGCCTTCTCAAGATCGAGATCATGGGTGGTCCTTCTGAGTGCTGTCTTGATGGGGAGGGTTGTACTACCGTCGCCGATTGGGCTCGCCATCGCAAGAGGCGCAGAGAAGACATCAAAAAGGAAACCGGTTGGTTGATTTTCTTAAAAATCCTTCCTTTTTTTTTTTTTTTCTGTATATATATATATATGTTTGTCCTATTTGATTGCTTACTGTATAGGACAAAATTTTTTCAAGCCTTTCATTCTGTAAAAATTACCTGAATTGGAAATTAGGTTTTCGTCTTTGGTTTTTTTTCTTTTTTTTAATTATTATGAAAGGTTCTTATCAAGCAAAAAAGGAGTAATTTCAGTATTTATTTAAAAGATTTCCCAAATGTTCCAGTTCTGAGGATGATGCGTTGTAAAGGTTGTTCTTGTCCAAACCAGTCCAGTTATTTCATCGACCATTGTCGGTGGAGTGGGGAGGTTGTTAGCTTTAGGGAACTCAGAAAGACAGAAGCAGAGGCTTTTGAGCTCAATAACAAAAAAAGGGGGAGGGGGTGTGGTTTTGATGTCAAACTTTGGTATGGTAACAATTGATGCAGCTGACTAGTCATGAAATTGAAGATTTTTATAATGTCACTTGGAGTGTAAACAGTTGAGATTTCTGAAATGAAAAGATTGCATTTCATTGAACCGAACTTACATTGCATGTTTGCCTGGTCGAGATCATTATAATGTTGAAACAAAAATGGGGGGAATGTTTGTGTTGCATGGCAGCAAACTTGATCTCATGCAAAATGCACTGTAATTTTTATGAATTTTGTCCGCATTGTAGTTCTCTATTAATGTGTTTTGGACTTTTCCAGCTTTGGATCTTACTCTTGGTGCTGAAGAGCAGATTTTAACTGGCAATCAGCCGGATATGGATGATGGTGTGGGCTGTGAAAATCAAGATGAAGAAGCTGAGGCAATGGTTGAAGAGACCTCAGGTGGTAAATTCACTATGCTATAGGCCTAACTATATTCAAAGATAAATTCTTTTCCTTGACCCATTCTATACTTTTATCACCGTGCATCAGTTAGCTCTTATCTTTTACACAAGCAAGTTGTTTTGCATGTGGCTTGAGTGCGCTTTTGTTTTTTTGCAGGTGATGAAGCGGCAGATAGCAATGAATTGTCATGGAGCATGGATTGTTCTACTGTTCTCAGAGTTAAAACATTGCACATCAGCTCTCCTATTTTAGCAGCAAAAAGTCCATTTTTCTACAAGGTAGTAGTCTTTTATTTTCTAGAATGTGCTTTTAATATATTTGTTAGCCAGAATTTCCTTCCTTTTTTTCCTATTTATTTATTTGTTTATTTACCATTGATTGATTGCAGCTTTTCTCAAATGGAATGAGGGAGTCGGAGCAACGACATGTAACCCTAAGAATCAATGCTTCAGGTATATATAAGTGCCAAACTTATTTCCTTGATTGTTATTATGTAATGTTTGGAACTGTTTTTTTTTTTTTTTTTTGTCCTTTCATGGTGTTAGAGAGTTAAAAGCAAATTTGTTAGAGAAGTATATTCACTTTTCTTATGTTGTTTTTGTGAACAGAGGAAGCTGCCCTTA